CTGCCAGGAAGTCTACATGGTCAACTCGCGCATGGCCGAACAGCTTACGAGGCGCCAGCAAAAGGAACCCGTGGTTCGAAATGTTGGAGACATCTTCCTCGAGTACGTGCCACATTTTGCGCCCTTCATAAAGTACGGTGCGAACCAGCTCTTCGGTAAGTACGAGTTTGAGCATGAGAAACGCACAAATACCGGATTCGCCAAGTTTGTCGATGAGGTAGAGAGAATGAAGGAATCGCGGAAGCTCGAGCTCAATGGTTATCTTACCAAACCAACAACAAGACTGGCCAGGTACCCGCTGCTCTTGGAGAATATCGCAAAGTACACAGCCGATGACAACCCCGACAAGGAAGACATTCCCAAGGTCATCAAGATTATCAAGGAGACTCTGTCAAAGGTCAACGTGGAATCTGGAAAGGCAGAAAACCATTTCAATCTAATGCAGCTCAACAAGGACCTCAAGTTTAGGCCTGGAGAGTTTGTGGATCTGAAGCTGACCGACGAGAACCGGCAATTGGTGTTCAAGGGTACTCTGAAGAAGACTCCCACTGAGACCACTGGTGACATTACCTGTTACTTGTTCGATCATGCAGTTTTGTTGGTCCGGGCGAAGACTGTCAACAAGCGCGAGGAGCAGAAAGTCTACAAGAAGCCTATACCTCTGGAGCTGTTGGTCATCACCCAGATGGAGGAGGTCAATCCCAAGTTGGGCATATCCAAGAGACCATCAGCCAACTTGATCGCTGGCAAGGCCATTGCCGCTGCTACTCCAAAAAACAATGACCCCAAGCAGCAAGGATACCCTATCACCTTCAAGCATCTTGGAAAGGGCGGTTACGAGTTGACACTATTTGCCAGCACCCCCATATCTCAGCAGAAATGGATGGAGCACATCGACACACAGCAGCGAAGTCTGAGGGAGCGAAGTAATATCTTCACTAAGACGATCGTCAACGAAGGCTTTTTCTCTCCGACCATCAGAGTCACCTGCGCTGTTCCGCTGGGTATGTATCTCATCATTCTACTAATAATCTCGATACTAACTTTTGACAGACGGTGGTCGCAAACTGGCTCTTGGTACGGATGCTGGTGTTTATGTCGTGGAGCGGAAGCCAAAGGATGCCTCCATGCGACCTCGTCGTGTTTTGGATTGCAAGGGTGTAACCCAGATCGAAGTTCTCGAACAACACGCAATCGTGCTTGTGTTGGCCGACAAGACGTTGTATTCATACTCGACAGAGGCTCTGGAATCCGACGAGACCCAGTCCATGGTCAAGCGACCACGCAAGATTTGCCACGCCAACTTCTTCAAGGCCGGAATCTGCTTAGGGCAACAACTGGTGGCTGCAGTCAAGACATCCGCGCTCTCGACGACTATCAAGGTGTACGAGCCAAAGGAGCAGATGGGCAACAAGAACAAGAAGTCAGGTTTCGCGAAGATGATGCTCTCCACGAGCGGAGCAGACCAGCTCAAGCCCTACAAGGAGTTCTACATTCCCACCGAATCGACATCGATACATTTCCTGCGATCCAAGCTATGTGTTGGCTGTGCACGCGGTTTCGAAGTTGTCAGTCTGGAGACGCTTGAAACGCAATCGCTGCTCGACCAGGCAGATACCTCGCTTGACTTCGTCGTACGGAAAGAGAACATCAAGCCAATTCATATTGAGCGTATGGCAAGCGAGTTCCTGCTATGCTACACAGATTACTCCTTCTTCGTCAACCGTAACGGCTGGCGGGCGAGGCCCGACTGGAAGATCACTTGGGAGGGCACACCACAAGCTTTCGCCATCTTTAACCCCTACATCCTTGCCTTTGAACCTAGCTTCATCGAAATACGCCATATGGAGAGCGGCGGTCTGGTGCACATCATTACAGCCAAGAACATTAGATGGTTACACACTTCGACACGAGAAGTAAGTCAATCACATAAGATCATATTCGTACAAAAGCTAACAAAATCCAGATCCTGTACTCCTATGAAGATGAACTCGGCACCGATGTCATTGCCAGTCTTGATTTCTGGCAAACTGCAAACGGTGGAAAGCAGTCGCTTGATGTCCAGCGCTCATACGAGAAGAGCTAGACTCGACAGTAGCCCGCAACAAAACCTTAACGTCGAGCCTCTACCCTCGAACATACGAGCACGAAACCAGTGGCAAACGCATAATCACAGCCACACATGCACCATCTTTTCTGCTGACGACTGCTTTGCGGTTCTCTATGTCATCCTACTTGTCAGCGGAGGCATGCGACATTGTGGTCAGGGACAGCTCAGGAAGTGCCTCGACCGAGCCGCGGGCGGTGGCGATGGTTGATCACGTTGATTATTACTCTCCTTCTCTGAGGTCAAGAGGGGATAATACATTTGTATCATAATAGACTCGCACGGTGATTGATCTCGTTGGGGTTTCCAAAGGCAACTAGGCTCAAAATGTGTTGGAGGCATACCAGGTAGTAGTGCGATTGTTGAAGACATAATCTGAAGATGCGATTTAGCGAGTTTGATTACGTTCTCTTTCCTATTTGTCATCTCTCTACCTCAATCCTGAAGAGTTATGTTTTGGTATTATGGCGGAGCCTTTTAGTTCGCTTCACTTGCTCGCATCCCGACACCATACCCGAGATGCGGATTAACCGCCATTACCGACGCTGGAAGTGGGTATCTCCACCGTCACTAACACTATGGGAGGTCTAGTCGGATAACGTGTTCCTTAGTCTATGGCTAGCTTCATGGTCGGTCCTATTTCTCAAACCATCACATGACGGGGTTCAGCTCAGTGTAGTAGTACCTCCGATGTCGTTCCTTGTCACTATACTGCCGGAACATTATTATTCTCCTACCGGCATCTATCCACTGCTTCTTCACCGATCACACGGCCAAACAACTATTTGATTCGAAAGCATCGTTGCTAGAATCATGGCTCCCGGTGTACTGTGGGTTGCTTCACGCGTTGTGAATCCTGATAAACTTTCTACTGAGAAGTTCTGCGATTGGTACGAGAATGTATGTACTTCGATCCTTCTTCACGAGCAGTTTGCCATAGAACCACGAAGAAGCTGACAAGAAATGAAAGGAACACATCCAAGAAGTCATCAGCCTTGGCGGCGTACCTTCCGGTGTACGCTACCAAGCCATCCAACCCCAACCACCATCGGTCTACAGCAACGAATTCCCATGGCTAGTACGTCCCCAACTTCATAACCACAATGACCCCTATCTAACCCCCAAACCCCAATAGGTAACCTACGAATTCCCCGACCTCGCCTACAGAGAAAGCGAAGACTTCAAAAACATAGCCGGCAAGAACCCTCCCAGCCAAGAACTTATCAACACAATCTACAAAAACTCCGCCTTCGCCATCCGTTTCTACGAAGAGATCCAGGCCGTCAAAGGAGCCACTTCATCCCGGACTAAATTCGTCATCTCGGCCGCTCTCCAACCACCCAAAGACGCTTCTTCAGATGCAGACTTCGATGCGTGGTACCGCGAAGAACACCTTCCGGTTCTTTCCCGCGCACCGGGCTTTGTGCGCTCGCGCCGGTTTAAACTAGCCGCTGCATCTACGCTGGAGGACTTCCAGTTTGGAGATGCGATGGATACGGCGCCGAGGTATTTGGCGTTGCATGAGTTTAGTGGGGAGGTACTGCCTTGGAAGGAATTGGAGGCGAGTGGGCAGACGGAGTGGGCGAAGAAGGTTATGGGGAGTTTGGTCAAGGAGGAGGTTGGGTTGTATGAGGTTAAGAGGGTGTATAGTGAGGAGGAGTGGGGGAGTGTTGGGAAATAGAGAGGAATAAATGATTTGTACATGTTTTGACTTTGTCTTATTGAAGTTGAAAGTGTCGTCTACGAACGGCTAGTAGACTTTGGTTGCAACGATATTCCTTGCGTGACTACCTAGGCACGTCTGCTTGTAAATGTAGATTGGTATCATTACCTAGCTATCTTCCCTATTGGCTGAAGGGTCAACGTTATCTGATATCGCTACATTTGATCAGAGCTGTCCTTCGAGATCGCTCCTTAGCTTCTCAAACATCTGCTGCCCCATGTGCGTCCACCAACGCGGTATGTGAATTCTTTTCGGTAGTAGCATCTGAGTTCAAGCTGTTCCAGAGTTTGCTCGGTTTCGAGAAAATACCGTTTGGTACACATCTTCCCACTATATCCAATAGATTGTAGACTGCCTGGACTTGGTTCTCGCGGGCGATAAGAATATCGTCTTCTCTGTACATTATCCTCGCCAATGCATCGGCATCCAGTTTGGTACTTCCCCACTTCAGGACGATCTTGAGTGCCTCGCTAACTGGAATCCACATATTTTCGCATTCGTTTTCATGCGACATGTGAAGTTTGCTAGTTCTATCTGATTGCAGGTTGAATGCCCATCTACATTGTGGTAATCGAGAGACAGTGATGGTAATCTACTAACCACTTCCACAATGGCTTTGAGTTTGATGTCCTTACGGCCCCGGACGAGGAAGCGGAGGATTGATGTTGTCTGTCCCATCACTTCAGAATGTAGTGCAACCTCCTCGCTGGAATCATAGATGCGATTCTTCTCTTGCCTTCCCTCGTACGGATCAAAGGTGTCGGCGAATGCCCAATGCTGGATAGTATGGTGCTCTTCTATTCGTGCTCTTTGGCGTGGATAAGTGCGCCCTACTTACAAAAGAAGAGGGTTGAACATGCTGAGCATACAACCTAGGAAACTACTGAACACCCTGGAGCCTGCGTTGACAGGAGATCATCTAATTTGCATGTTTTCATCTAGGTGGATTCTAGAGTGTTTGGTTCTTCCCTTGTATGAAGTGTGTGAATTCCAGAGATGTCGATGTCGAATGACGAGTTTCGACAACTTTGGTTCCAAGGAACCCTTAAGATGGCGAGCGGTCCAGAAAGTGTATTCCCGAGCACTCATCAATATTTCACGAGTTTATTTCGTGCTCTCGAGCGGTGCGTAATCTTAGGTCTTGCCCTTCGCGATATATGCTAGCCTCGCTCACCACTCCAGGCTCAAACTGTCAGCCCAGCTGCCCTTCTTCTCAACCTTGTACGCACTCTCGACATTTCCGTTACCCAGATCTGCGCCGTAGAAATGCGCAAAGCAACCTCTTCCGACCTCTTCCCACTTGAGCTCACCCTTCTTATCCGCATGAACCTGCCCGTCGCCATCGGTGCCCGCGACTAGCACGTCGTACTTGATCTTCAGCAGCCACAGCTCCGAGACGTCGCTGAAGAACTTGTCGGCAGTGCCAGGTACTTGCTCCGACGTTGATAGGTGGATGTATCCGTCATTGCGGTCGAGGTCTGAGAGCGGGAGACGCGCGGGGAGAGGGGATGGCGGGGCAGCAGGGAGGATCTTGTAGAGGTAGGTTGGAAGGGGCGAGGGAGCCGGCATTGTGGCGCGTAGCACGGATTGCGATGAGTGGACAGATCCCGGTATTCAAAGTGCGGTGAGAACAGCTCGTGACAGGCGTGTGAGAAAAGATGGTAGTTTGGGCACAAACTAGAGAGCGTCACAAGTCGCGAGAAATGCACGTTATGCTCATGATTGGCCGACGCGAGATTACGTGAGACAGGGCGATTATCCACCCCAACCACGGAACCAACATGCCTCTTGAGCGCCACAAAAGTCAGCCTGGACGAGATTCATAGGCAACCATGTCGCGTCCGTCTTCGCACCGTGCCTCGACCCATCTGCAACATAACAGTAGGGTTTTCCTGCGCGCCCCGTGGTGCGGTACATTTACGTCATCTTTCGGGCTTCGCACAACCGCACGAGCTTTGGGTGCCAGAGGGCCACCGCAGAACACGTTGGCGACCAAAAACACCTACTCGTGAGACCCAGACACACGATTGGACGCGCGTGACAAGACCATCCTGTTTTCCACTCAAATCAAGATTCGCTACCACTCATATGCACCCACGATAGTCGCCAGGCTGGGTGTGCGCGCGGCTGGGTAGGATGCTCCGACCAGCAACGACAGTTTTAAACGCCAACGAGCCCGACCAACATGGTTTCCATACGACTCACCCAGGATGAAATGCACCACCTTTCGGAAGAGCAGGGAAATGGCCAGACGCGCTGCTGTGTACAGGCGACGAATGCGACACCAGCTGGGTCGCATGTGACTTTTGGTTATCTGAACAAAGGAGCTGCAAATGTCATATTCAAGATCAGACCCGAGACCAGCACTGTCGCGACACGTTTCCAGTTCGTCGATGTACTTTCCAAAGACAAAAAAACTGGCGTAGCAACATCAGTACCCCATCGAAGCCTGATGGGAAGAGTCCTCCGCGTACCCAGAGGCGGCCAGAAACATCTTTCGTCCCTAGAAATCCTGGACGGCTTCGAGCATGCAATCCGGCCACTCTTCCTCCCAGGTCCACGGAACAACCCCCAACAGCCCGCTCGCGATCTCACAAAGCACCTCATGGACCACGAAGGCGTATTGCTCCTACCAGACGTCATGAGCCACCTCTACACGCGCGTCGAAAAGCACACCTTCGCAACCCCACAGTCGCGACGAAAGTGCTGGGGCATCCTCCTCCCAGACATGTCGCCCACACCCGGTACATCCATCACCCTCGAAGTAAAACCGAAATGGCTCGCGCAATCCCCCAACGCACCCGCTGGAGCAATCCGCTGCCGCACCTGCGCCATGCACGTTTCCGTACCCAAGAAACGGGATAACTATATCTGTCCCCTGCAGTTACTGCATGGAAACTCCTCGTCCCTACTACCATGGTCCCAAGCAACAGTTTCCCAGCAATTCGACAGCAATACTGGTAAAGAAACCCGACCATCCCCCGTCGTCATCTCCGCGCTTGTAAAAGCTCTTGTGGATTACCTTACCATCGGCGACGGCCTCGCGCTCCTGCAACACCTCCTCAATCTGCAGAGTTCGCTTGATCCGCGGGGTGTGCTTTGTCGACCTAAGAGTAGTGCGGAGGCATTTGATCACAATCTTAGGCTGGCCATGACGCTGAGGGACTGTTCGATGTTCATCAAGGTTGCGTACGATAAGGCTGGTGTTACGGGGATAGAATCGAAATTAGGGGATTTGGACTTCAAGTCTGCGGAGAAGATTGTGGATTGGATGGATAAGGAGAGGGGGTTATTGCTGGATGGGTCGTATACGAAGAATGTGAAGGAGGGGCCGGTGTGTTGGCTTCAGAGGGGTTTGGGCGTTTGAGTATGTTTTATTAATGGTAGGAAAAGCTTTTTCGGTTTGTGTTATTATATTTTGGTTATGAGGGGGTATAATGTATGGACACTATAGAAGGAAGGGTCTCAAGGGAACGAAAACAGATCGATGGGTTTCGAGGTAACAAGCACATTTAATACAGATATTTACATTGTCGCTAAAGAGGGAAGGAGGGTATCTATATAACGCCAATGCCCATGAGATCCTATCGTAGATGGCGGGGACTCCAAACCTGTCCCTCGCCAGAAGAAGAAGAATAAAAGCGCTATAATGGCGTAACGAGAACACACCGACAGTGTTTGTTCATTCAATCATCAATCATTCATGCAATCCACCACGCCAACACTTACGCGCCCTCGGGGGTAAAACAATGCACACGAACGGTACCGTCTTCACTCCCGCTGACGACCCTCTCGTCACTCAGCCCCACACAGGTAATAGGACCCGTATGACCCGTAAGCGTCCTCTCGTGTTTCCCCGTCCGGGGATCCCAGATCTTGATCGTCTTATCCTCTGCTCCACTGACCAGTCTAAGTGAATCGGCGGCAAGCGACCAGATACCTTCGACATGGCCGAAGAAGCGGTGGACGCAGCGACCGGAGGGGACGTGCCAAAGACGAATGGTGCCGTCGAGAGAGCCGGTGAGCATGTATGAGGGCGGAGACGGACGGGAGGGGTCGTCGGGGAAGAAACTTGGTTCTTCGGGGTGACTGTGGTGGTGAGAAGAAGAAGACGAGGTATGGGCGAGAGGCGGGGCGGTATCCGAGGCTAGGGAAGCGGTATCGGATGTATCGTTGTTTGCGTTTGCGACAAAGTCGTCTTCGTCGATTTCAAAGGCTTGCGGGAGGGGCAGCACTTGTTGGACTTGGCCGACGTGGCCTTCGTACGTCTTGATGCAGCGGTGGGTGTCGAGATCCCATAGCTTGACGGTCATGTCGTCGGAGGCGGAGAAGAGGGTGCGCGAGGGGAGGTCAATCTTGACGGCGTTGACCCAGTCTGTGTGGCCTATTAGGGTGGTGCGCTTCATGTGGCTGAAGTCGTGCACCATGATGGTGTTGTCTGAAGATCCGGATGCGAGGAGTTTGTCTGCCATGTGTAGGCCGATTACACCATCGCTGTGCCCGTTCATGGATTTTACAAGCTGGCCTGTCCGCCAGTTCCAGATCTTGATCGTGTTATCCAAGCTTCCAGTGATCAACTTGCTGTCTTCGAACTGCAGGCACCGGATGCCTTGTGTGTGGCCTGTGAGGGTGCGGATTTCTTGGCCCGTTTTGATGTCCCAGACTTTGATCGTGGCATCGTAGGAGCCGGTAATGAGGACTTGATCGTCGAATTGCAGGCACATGACGCCGTTGGTGTGGCCCTTGAATATGCGTGTCGAATAGCGCCCATACTTCCAATTGCTCCCAACCTTGTAGCGATCCTTGTATACATCCTTCCATGGTCGCTTCTTAGGATGATCGAAGTATGATGTGACTTGGTCTTGACCTGCTTGGAGGCTGGTGCATGGTCGTTTATTCGAAGCTTCTGGGGAAGAATCGTCGTCTGGCACAGAGCGCTTGGTGCTGGCAGCGGGGTCGGGGCCTTGGGATAATCGATGAGCGAGTGTATCTGGTGAGGTCTCGGGCTGTGGGGTGATGTTTGGTGACCATTCGTTGAGGCCCCGCCCCGATGCGCGCAATTGTATCCGTCGCTTCTCATGGCGCAAGCGACGTTGGTCGAGCAGCGGGAGTCCCCAGCCACATTTTGTGCATTTTCTGTCAATGTGCTGCTCACACATCTTGTGCCAGACGACATCGTCGTCAGCCAGTTGTCTCCACCGCCGATTGACCTGCGAGGCCTTGCAGAGCGAGGTGGTGTCGAGATAGCAGAGGATCTTGAAGCCCAATTCGGTGGGCAGTGCGCCGAGAAAGTCGATCTTAATGAGGTTTCGGACGGAGGAGGATATGAAGGAGAGTTGAGGAAAGCAGCACTGGGCGAGAATGCCCTGCAGCATGAGGTTGCGATGGCGGGAGGGAGCCGCCGAGAAGAGCGACCAGACGTTGGCAATGCTCTGCTGGTCGGCCTGGGACTCTCTGCCGAGTTGTTCTTGCAGTTGTTCCATGGAAGGCTCGTCTGCTTGCCGTCGACAGAGTAGGTCGGGACGGTGTCGATAGCAGAACTTGGTGTTGGCAGTGCGTGGACGCTCGTCTTGCCCTGGGCTGTTGGCGCCGAGGGGGTTATATTGTTGGGGAATGTGCTGGGCAAGGTATGGCGTGATCATCTTCTCCATTTTCTTCGACTTGTTTGCCTGGGCCTCTTCGGCCTCGTCTGTGGTTGCGTGCTGGTGTCGTGTCCGCTCCGACATGCCTTCGTGGTCGTGGCCATGCATCAGGGCAGCGTGCGGGTCTGTCGAGGTGGCGGCGGTGAAGTCGTCAGGCGACGAGTCTCGGGGGCGCCATGAAAGACGTCTCGGTCGGGGAGGAGCGGTGGTGGCGTGGGTGGTTTGCGACGCCATGGTCAATTCATGGGCTGCGGCAAGGTGCGAGGGCTGTCGAGATTCCGGGGCGATATCGCGTGCGAAGCCCAGGTCGCTGGTCCAACAGGCGGCAGGCAGTGCGGATGTAACGGCGACTCGATGGCACGTTGCGCATAAATAATGCTAGCGAGCGACAGAGTTTGGGCGCACCAAGAGGTGGAATGGCGCAATGGCAGGCTTGGATAGCATCTTCAGCACGCAATGCCAATGTCTCCGCAGCCCTGTGGACCCTGGCACGCTTGCACCCCATGCAGCCGCTCGGGCCATCTCTAGTCGCGCATGCCATCATTCACCATCACGAGCCTCGCATCGCGAACTACCACTCGACCGGCACCGCTGCCACTATGCCCAACACCCGCTGCCGTGGCCGCCGACACGATGGCCTCTCCACCCTCGCCCGCCTCGCCCACCAGCAGCGCTGCATCTAGGACGTCGCTGGACCCGGACCACGCCCAGTCGCTCACGCTCGAGCATCTCGTCAAGCACTTTGTCGCCGCCAAACGCTCCCTCAACACCCAGACGGTCCTATGGCGCGCCACCGACATCGTCAACACCGCACGTGACCTGCTCGAAGAGAACGCTGTCGTTTCCGCCAAGAACACGTCCATCCGCAACCTCGTCGAGCAGCAGGTGGATGCCCTGGAAGCCGTCCGCCGCGGCGTAGACGTGGTCGAGTCGGAAGTCCAGGCCGAGTTCAAGCAGCTGCTCCACGACGTCGACGCCTCCTTTGCCGGTGTCAACTCTACCCTCGCCGTCCTGCGCGACACGCCCATTGAAGGCGCCCTGCAGCCTCCGGGCACTCCCCAGAAGCATCTCTACGACTTCATCGACAGCGCCACCGTCTCCAACCTGCAGTCCACACTGCGCGCCTGCATAGACCGCTACAACGATGCCCACGCCACGCTCGACGAGAGCTCCCATGTCTTCGATACGTGTCTGGATAACCTCTACTCCTCCATCGAGAACGTGCCCATGACACCCGTGTCCACGTCCACTCCGAGTCCCATACCCAGCCTATACCATAATCTTGAGGGCCACGCAAAAGAGGCTGCGCAGGCATTCCAGTCGCTTGTTCAGCACTATGACCTATGCATAACAGCCTTGCGCCACACAGAAGGAGGTTCCGCTGCTGCCACCCAAGCAACAGGAGATGCGCCAGTCCACTCCGAGGATAACGGTGCCGCGCCTCCCGAGCCCATGAGCGAAGACGAGCGCCGCGACATGCTCAACGTCTTGCAAAAGGACGCGCAAGAGGTGGAAGACGTCGTGACCGAGATCCAGGAACGGGGCTCTGAGATGACCTTCCTTCTGGGCCAGATCGAGAACCACATCCGCCACGTCCGCAGCGAGTCGTCAGCCCTGTCCAAGATACTCGAGATGATGTCGCAAATCACTGGCCAAGTCAAAGAGCACATTGTGACCTCACGTTCCTTCTATGCCTCATGGCTGGAAGACACACGGCCTAGCCTGCTCAGCGGCATCGACGAGTGGGAGAGCCAGCGCGACTTCTTCGAACGCTTCGACCTTGCCTACGCCGAGCTCCTCGTTGAGGTGTCGTCACGACGGAGGCGGCACGAAAAGGCCAAACGGAAGGCTGAGGAAGCGCAAAAGGAGCTAGACAGGATACGCCTCGAGGATGAACGTGCAAGGGAGCAGTTTACCGTGGCTCAGGGTGACTTTCTGCCCTTGGATATCTGGCCGGGTCTGAGGGATCCGCCGCGACAGTACGAGGTCAGAGTTGTACCCGCTAGTGTAGAGGGTGAGCAAGACGAGAATGACCAGGAAATATACGGTGGCCAGAGTATACCTCAACTAGGGAGGACCGTTGTTGAAAGGGCGCTCACGCGAGTTAAGCGACGAATGTAATTGACTGGTATCATATATACTTGCTATATAGCTCTCACGTCGGCTTCCGTCCATGAGTAAAGTAGAAGCGGATATACATATGCACATCCTTCCTCCTAATATCCGCAACCACCTTGGCGATCATGACCCGGCACTCAGACTCACTCCAGCCCATGACCTTGCCCAAGAGACCGAGAGTGTAAGGCTCGATGCCCATGGACATGTGCTCGCGCTGGTAGCGGCCGATTTCCTTCATTTTCGCGTCCTTGGCCCAAGGGCCGATAGGGATCTACAGGTACCGCATTAGCCTCGTAAACGGCATAGTGTAGGGGAAAAGGGTAGACATACCTTGATGAGCTTCTCGTGAACATCGATGAACCCTGCATCCGTCATCCGCTGCTTCAGGCTGTCCCCGGCCGTGATGTCCCTTCCCCACGTTTTAGCGGCAGCGTGGCACAACTCCTGCCACTAGAGGTAGAGGTACAAAGTCAGCATACGTCCCACATGCACTTCGTACAGTCAAAACTTACCTTGAGCATGTCGGTTGCCAGCTCCATGGTCCCATCGTCACACTCACACAACGCAAGCGGCTCCTGGAATTCCACCCAACCGCCGGGCTTGGTATGCGTGTATGTCTGTCGCACCAGCTTGTCCCAGTCGGAGATGCTGCCAGACATGGTTCGGCAGTGGATAAAGTCAAAGGCCTCGTCGGGACTGTAGACCCATTCCGACTCGGCATCGTCAATGTAGAACTTGACGTTGGGCGGCACCCACGTTGGCTGGATGGGACTGAGATCAGTGCCTATGACCTGTGCTCCTGGGTGCTCGTCGGCGAAGTCTATGGCCCAGATGCCGGTGCCGGTGCCGATGTCGAGCACGCGCTGGGGCGCAGGCGGGATGGGTGCATCGTAGAGCTTGCCGCCTAGGATGAGCAGGAAGATGTGATGGAGGAGATCGAGGCGGTCTTGCTCCTGCTCGTCTGCAGAGGTGGAGGTACGAAGTCAGCATTTGTCTCACATGCACTTCGTACACTTGGGACTGACCATTCGGTAAAATGTACGATCCGGACCGGTAGCCGTGGTATCGCCGCCCATTGGAGTATTCATAGTTGAGGATAGTCGATGCGATGGACGTGGATGCCGTGGATTCGCCGCCGAATGCCGAATCGCTATCGCTGTTGTTGGCCGTGTCGACGTCGAGATGCAGGACGGATTGCAGGTTGCCCTCGGCTGTTGGATCCTGCGGGGCTGACATGCTGTGTTCCAGTTCTTTTCCAAGAGCGTTTGCACTCGCGGGGTCAGGCCTCGCCTTATATCTTCCACCTCTCTACTTTCGTCGGCCATGCCGTAGGATCCAGGATGCCGGGTCAAACGCACCCCATTCCATAATCAGTCTGCAAACACCACATGCCTTAGCGACATGTAGGAGCGCACTCTGCTCTCTAAAGAGCGCTTCGCCGCCTGATCGACTTACTGCCTCTCTGACAGCCAGCCGTCATGTCTCTTCCCGCTCTGTGCCTGCTGGCGTACTTTGTGTACCTCCTCGCACGTGTCGTTTACCGCCTATATTGCCATCCACTATCCCGCTTTCCTGGCCCCAGGATTGCGGCAGCCACAAGCTGGTACGAGGGCTACTACGAAATTGTCCACAAGGGGCAGTACTCGAAGCAAATCTCCAAGCTCCACGATCTCTATGGCCCTATTGTAAGAGTGACGCCTGATGAACTGCACATACGAGACCCATACTTTTACGACCAAGTCTACGCCAAGAACGTCCACCTCGACAAGGAGGGTTGGGACAAGAGGTTTGGGTGTGCAGGCGGCCTGCTGCCGACCGTTAACGCGGAGCAGCACAAGCGACGCCGTGCTGCGTTGGCTCCCATGTAGGTGCTTCAACATGTAGTGCAAGGCACCTCGGCACGATTAACGCCTGTTGTCAGGTTCTCACGCCGCTCCATCCTCGACTTCATACACATCATCCACCGCCATGTCAACACCCTCTCCGTGCGCATGCAAGAGTTTGAGGCTCATGCAGAGCCGCTTAACCTATCCCATGCCTTCCCCGCCCTGACAGGCGACATCATCATGGACTACTTCTTCGGCTTCAACTACAACCAGCTCAAGCATCCTGAATTCGAGTCATTCCATGATGCATTTATTCGGGTTGGCGGTGTGGGTCACATCGCCACGCAGTTTCCCATGATACTTCCCGTGGGTTATATTTAGATCATTCAAGATGTGCACCAGTCACACGTGGAACTGACATGGTTTTTGCAGATTCTCGATTGTATCCCTGACCGTATCAGCGGCTGGCTGCAGCCAGCAGTGAAGCCAGTGCTCAAGTTCAAGCAGGTATGCGGCACAGCATTGCATCTATACCGTGTTAAGTCTAACATGCGAGTCAGGATAACCGGAATCACATTGCGCGCACCCTTAAGGGCGAAGACATCAAATCCAACGATGCGAAGAAGACCATCTTCCAAGAAATTGTCGGCTCTAAGCTACCTGACTCTGACAAAACACAGAAGCGTCTCGAGGATGAAGCGCAAATCATCATCGGGGGCGGCGTAGAGACAACCGCCTTCTCCCTCTCCACAGCCGCGTTCCACATCATCAGCACCCCACGCATCTACGAGCGCCTCCACAAAGAGCTCGTAGAAGCTTTTCCCAACAGAGATGACTTAGATTTGGCCCCACTGGAGAAGATGCCGTATTTCAAAGCCATCATCATGGAAACCGCGCGCATGTCATACGGCTTGAGTGCTCGAAACCCCAGAACACACAAGACGCCTCTGCAGTACAAGGAATGGGTTATCCCCGCAGACACTTGCATTGTAAGTCATTACCCCACTAAATGATCCATCTTCCCATCGCATCTAAACTAACCCCCAACCCTCACAGTCCATGACCATCCCCGAAGTCTCCCACGACGAAACTCTCTTCCCTTCTTCCCGCACCTTCATCCCGGAGCGCTGGCTCAACGATCCCAAGACCGCTGATGGTATTCCGCTGGAGCGCTTCATGGTTTCTTTCGGTCGCGGTACGCGCAATTGTCTCGGTATCAATCTGGCATATGTGGAGCTGTACCTCACGCTGGGTATGTTGTTCCGGAAGTACAAGTTTGAGCTTCACGAGAGTGATGTCAGCGATGTGGAGTTGGGTCATGATTTCTTCATTCCGGTTGCGAAGCTGGATAGCAAGGGGTTGAGGGTTTTGGTTACGAGGACGGAGGATTAAGGGTTTTCTTTCTTGCGACCAGTGGAGTTTATCTTGCGGACTCATTTGACGGGCCATCCTGAGAGGTCATCTTGAGATATCATCTTTGAGACATTGATCTGAGGCGAGATATCCAAGAGATACAGCCCCCAGGCAAATACATCCACCTACCCAACCAAAATCTCACATAAGCATACCCCCACCATCCGTCCTAACCATCGTCCCATCAACATTATAATCCCTCAACAACCCCAAAAACGTCTCCGCCACGTCTTCCGGCCTCCCCACCCTCCCCGTCGCCATCCTACTCTCCATACCCCGCATAATCTCCTGCTTCTTCTCCTCGCCGTGATGATCCCACATCTCTGTATCCACCGCGCCCGGGCTCACGCCATTAACGCGAATGGGCTTCATATCGAGAGCCAGGTTGCGCACCATGGAGTGCAGGCCTCCTGCATACGCGCCAATAACGCTCCAGTTGGGAATTGGCTTTTCGGACACAGCGCCTGTGGTGATGGTATATGAGGATTTGTAGCTCTGGATGAGGTACCGCGGGAGGTGTTTTGCGAGGAGCAGGGGCGCGAAGAAACGGATTTGGCCAGCTGCAAGGATGTTTTGCATCGTCTGGAGATCCCGTTAGTCATGCCATATACACCGATACAGAGATGTAAGAAGAGGTTAAAAAAAAGACATCAACCCACCATATCCCCCAACTTGATATCCGCCAACTTATCCCCCGCAGTAAAAACAACATGATCCAACTTGCTCTCCGGCATGCTCTCCACCGTCTTCTCCAACAGCGTCTTCAGCTCTTCTTCCAGCGTCTCTGGCTTGCCTAGGTCAACGGCAAGGCCTCTGATGCGCGGGTTTGAGGAGTCAGCAGCAGAGGGGTACGCGGTTTTGAGTTTGGATACAGCGGCATCGATGCGAGATGGGTTGGAGGAGCTGATGGTTACTAGAGCGCCGTTTTCGAGACAGGCTTCTGCGACACTGTAGCCGAGGCCGGATGTACCGCCGATCACGAGGATGCGCGAGTTGGTCAGTTTGTTGGTGTAGCGTTTTTGGTCGGTCATGGTTTCGGCGGTTGGCTGTGTGTGTTGGTAGATGGGGAGACTGTAGGTAGTATACGGGTTGTTTAGTTACTGATCGCACGATCGGTCTTTCGTACGATGAGTATTGAGGTAGTACAGGTCGATGAAGATAGAGAGCTGTGTATTACACTGTTCCCCACATTAGCAGCATGGTTAATGGTATATATACGCAGATCTCAACAACGGCATTTACATCATTGTGCCTGACGTGTAGTTGCCGTTGTTATCTCCGTGATGAACAAATCGCGTTGCTAGCTCCTAAGCATATAGCGTGGTTTCTCCACCCGTTTTACTTCTGCTCGACGTCATTGGAAAAAGGTACAAACGTGCCCGTCAATTTCTTGCATGGAGATGAACGGAGATAAGGTCATACGTATATGCGGGTACAGCCGTCATGCATTACATCATCACAGTTGAGTGTCAAAAGTGAGCATTGACTTGATTGTTCATTTCAACATGCGCTGTATGAGGTATCGTGACCTCGATCAAGAGGGCTCAGTAAGCCGTGCTGATCGTGGGAGCTACTAGGCTAATGCAGCTCTGTAGCGTGAGCACCAAGCGTGCGTGTGTGTTTATCAAGTCTCTCCGAGACCTGAATATGTTCGATCCTGCTTCTTTTACGAAGCTATCGTTTGATAGCCGATCATAGTGTTGTCCACATGGTGTTGATCTGCTTTCGCTTGACCTGGAGTGCTGGTTAGTATGCCATGTAACACAACAATGCACAGAAAAGTATAGAGAGGGTAGACTTACCAAAGGCGCAACGAACAAGACTCCGACAAACAGTCCAACAACGGTCAAAAGCATAGAGATCTTATTGAAACCCTTGCCTAGGATATCGAACGAGAAACTGGGTGCGACCCGTGTTCCGAAGATATCCAAGCCATAGGCAAAGACCAGGCAAGTACTCTCGATTCCGCTCTCACTCGTGATAATATCTTCGATACCTAAGACTTCGTACTTGTGGGTAAGGTGCCACTTCGGGTCGAAGTTGATGAGGGGTGTGTACTTGACCAGACCTTCAGACGCTTCCTGCGCAGTAGGCTCACGACCGACGGGTCGGCGAGGATCAATCACCATGCGTGGAATGCCAACTATAGCGTTGAGTGCGGGTAAAGTGACGAGGAGCTCGCGACTGGTGATGCCCTGTCTGGTCTGTGTGACACTCATGTGTGTAATCTCTGCTGGTACCTGATAACTCTGCGACAGTACGTAAGGTTTCGCAGCGTCACCGTGCGAACCCGAAGGTTTCACGGTAGAAGAGTTCGACGAATCGCCCAATGGACCCCTGTCGTCTGGAAGGGGGGATTCGTAAAGGTCAGAGACGACAAGCTGGTAGCCGCGGGAAGAAGCGCCAGATGCAGCATCGATAGTTAGCGCATACGCGAACCAGTTCTCTGAGATAGTGGCTGGAATGGGTCGTGTGGTATCGACATCGTTGTGTGACATAGTATGTAGTACTTGTCCAGATGCAGAATCAAGTAGATAGACGGACGCGGATCGCGCTGATTCCACCACTGTTGTAACTAGGACGAGGTTGGGGTTCAGATACTTGTACAGCACCCTCCTGTCGCCTAGTACTTTGCCGATAGAGGCAACAGGGTCCTTGATCGGGCGAGCGACATAGCTGGCAATCTTCTCCTCGACAGGTGGCGTAAAGCTCCACACTGGTTCGGAACCAGGCTGGCTTTCCAGATATCCTTTCAGAGTGCCGTCAACCAAGGTGAATGAAATAAGGCTTTGCCCCTCAGCAACTAGCGAAGGCTCCAGCTTGATTTTGTCGGAAGTGATGAGGCCACCAGTTGTCGAATTGATGAACATGGATCCCTGGAAGCTGGCGTCTTTTACTTCAACATAGCCGCTGTGCGCCTTGAGAGTCGGGTGTTGGAAGCTCGTGCCGGGCGCGAACTGGCCAAGGTTCACGTTCCACATCACTTTGCCTCGCGAACCAACATCGAGAGCAGCAAGGCGACCCGCCTTAGTGGCGACGACAACAAGCTTGTGGAAACCGAAAGTGTCTTGTTGAATATCGTCGACTGTTGTCTCCTTTGTCTTGCCAAGCACACTACTCAGGAGGCGCTGGGGAATGCTCTGCGCCCACGCCGGGAAATATTGCAGATCCTGGAGGTGCCTCTGCACACGGTGGATGTAAGCGGAGACAGGGTTGCGATGACTTTCGTCAGCAAGTGCTTGTGCCAGGGCCTCCTGTTCGGGCAGACCGGCCCAGACTGCGGAGACTGCGCCAGACATGAATTCGGGCCGGGTCCAAGCGACTTCATCGTTCCGCAGAAGTGCCCACTGTCCGTTGGAGTACAGAACGGCCGATCGCACAGCGCTAGCAGCTCCTGACTTCACAACAACTTCAGATTGGCCATGTACAGGGAAGGCGCCCGCAAGTGCCGGAGAGCCTTTGGCAGTCCAGCGACCCAAGACACCGTGCGAGACTGAAGAGAAGACGGTAACTTCGTCTTCGGTAACCCTGGTGAAGTAAACGTTGGCATCAGATGTGCTTGTGGTGAAAGTTCCCTTTGTCCTCAGCTCCGGGAGGCTGTAGGCCTTGGAAACGGTTTGCTTGTTGAGGTCGACGTGGTAGACTTCAGCAGAATGGCCGATGGCAGTCTGGTACTCGACGAGGAAGTGGGCGAGCGAATTGATGTGGTTGGGAGCATGGAGAACGATGTTCTCGATGACTTCGTCGCCCGGCGTGTTGAAGGTCGACACAGCTTTGGTGCCAATAATGTTCACCTTCAGCACCTTGTTCGCCTTGTCGGTCCAAGCCAATAGTGGGGCAGCCGTGTTGGCTCCGGCGAAGAGGATTCGGTCGCGCGAGGAGATCTCTGTGTCCGAGTTGAGGGTGTACTGGTCGAGCTTCTTCCCTGTGATGGGGTTGAGCGACGTGACTCGGAGCTTGGAGCCTCCAAGCAGGGGCGCGTGGAGGGCGATGTAGTAGATGGTTGTCGGCGAGGTCGAGACCTGGAAAGGCGTGTCTCCGCTGTGGGCTGTCAGTGTCTGTTACATTGCCATTGATTGGTATAGCCACCTCGTGTCCTCGTATGTCCACTTGACGCGCCCAGTCTTGCCGTCAAGCCTCTTGACACTGTTGCTGCTATCGGTAGCAAGGACAATGGCGTCTTTGGCCGCGCTGATGGTCATGCCATCTTCCTGCTCTAGTATTTCCAGATCCTCGACTGCAGCCCCGCCGAGGCTGGTGTCCCACACGAGACGGCCGTCGGAAGCGCTCCACGACGTGACGCGGTCTCCAACGGCGCTGATTACCGTGTCCTGCTCGTTGCCTGAACGCAAATGTCCGCGGTGGCCGGGCTGCGAGGCCAGGTGTTGCCGCCATACGAGCGCGCCATCCTTGGGGTTGATGGCGCCGATGGTCTGGTTCTGCGATATCGAGTACAGGAGCGATGCCTTGGAGCCCGCATAGGGCTTCTGGAAGAAGGTGGCCTCTGGGGCAGGCAGGCCTAGCAGGGCATAGTGGAAATCAATGTGGAAGGCATCGTCCTCGAAGATGGCCGCAGCCGGCGCGAGACATGCTGCAATGGCGACAGCAGCACTAAAACGCATGGTCGGGTGGAATTGGAGCTTGTCGTCGGCGTCGTCGTCGTTCGGCTCCCATGCGCCCTGTGTCGGCTTCCCTCACACGTCTGCAGTGCCAGGGCGCACGTGCCCAGCCTGCTCCAGATCACGGGACCCTTATTGGATTCCCTGCTTCTTAACCCCAACCGCCAGCCCAGGCTCTTCACGACTCAGTTCAGGCGGCGTCGGGGAAGCGGGAGGCTCTCCATGGGCGATTATTACGTCGATAGGATGCTTGCTCGACAGCCTTGCGAACCCTTCTTGTGCACGACTCGACCAGAGGGCCACGCTATCATAGATTGGAGCTTGTCCCGGCGCCCTGGCTTTGTTTCGCGACTGGCCGCG